AGAGAAGCAACCTAGAACTAAGGAGAAACTTCCTGACAGAACAATTAACCAGTGGAACAACCTGCCTCCAGAAGCGGTGAATGCTCCAACACTGGAAGTTTTTAAGAAGAGACTGGACAGCCATTTGTCCGAAATGGTGTAGGGTTTCCTGCCTGAGCAGGGGGTTGGACTAGATGACCTCCAAGGTCCCTTCCAACTTATTATTATTATTATTATTATTATTATTATTATTATTATTATTATTATTATTATTATTATTATTAGTTCTATAAGGACAATAAGCACAGTAAATGAAAACCATGAATAAATGCAGGATGGGTGTGTTTTAACAGATGCCAAGATACCTGCAAGTCAAGAAGAAGTGAACGGCAGCACAAACGTAAGTAGCCCACCATTGAGGCATGTTTTAAAAGTTGCTTCACGAGACATGTCTGTCTCTAGGCCTGGAGGTATCTCTCCAGGTCTTAAAGAATCTGAACCAGAAATGTTTGCTTCCAACATCTGATATTTGCCTCCAGAGTGAATGATTATTGCAGCATTTTTTGTGATGGGCAACTAACTCTAGCCAAATAAAACAGTTGGGAAATAGTATGACGGCAAGAGATTTTTACCTCTTGCTAAGTCATGGGACTTAGTTGGTATCCTTCCCAAGCATTTCTGAGCTACCAGGTTTTTTTCATTATTTATAATTATTTTATTATTTACAGTTATTTGCTACCCATCACATTATTGAGTGACTCTGGTTTTTTTTGCACCCCTGGATAGCACAAGCTGATCATTTGCATTTGATTCAGAGCCTTCTCCCTAAACATCTAAAAAAGACAGGAACAATTGTCAATTGGTCCAAATATTGTTGCCAAGTCAACTCCTAAATCTCCAGGCCAGCTGAGGACAAGCAGTCCTGCCGAGCTGAGTGATGATGGACACATACTGACCAGCCGCAGTCATTTGACCAAGTCATTTGCAACTTTGTCTTTCTTCTTGTACTGCTTGTAGAAATCTTGAAAATGCCCTTCTTTGTCTCTTTTTAAAATGTTACTGGGTGTATCTTTATGACCATCTAAAGCTTTTTCTAAAGGTACTTGCCGTAGGAAGTTTGGGAGAGAACCACTCGTCCAATATTGAAAACTCAAATAAACAGGAAACCTTATGAATAGAATAAGAATAGAATAACAGAGTTGGAAGACACCTTGTAGGTCAACAAGTCCAAGCCCCCCACCCATCCAAGCAGGAGAGCCTACACCAGTGATGGAGAACCTTTTAGAGACCAAGTGCCCAAACTGCAACCCAAAACCTACTTATTTATCGCAAAGTGCCAGGGCCGCATCAGCATTATGATGCCCTCAGGGGGGTGGGGGGCGTGGCCCACTGGGTGGGTGTGGTTGGGGTGGGCATGGCCACCTTGATGTTGCTCGTGGGGGGGATGCCTGTGGGGGCTGGGCAGGATTGGGGGAGATCCAGCTGGTCTCTGGTGGGTGGGGTGGTGGGCAGGAGGCTAATCCTGCGGGGTGAGGCAGGGGGTAGGGCGGGGGTGCCATTGCTGCAAGGTAAGACAGGGGTGGCTGCTGCCTGACACCATCAGCCACCACACACAGAGGCCAGCGAGCGCATGGGGGTGTGCTCTACCATCTCTACTCGAGCTTGCTAGCCAGCTGCTTTGCCTCCTTTGTGCTGGATGGGGCTGCTGCTTCGGGCGCCAGCAGTGGCCTAATGGACCTGAGCGAGCTAGGGGCGGCAGGTGTGCCCACAGAGAAGGCTCTGAGTGCCGCCTCTGGCACGCGTGCCATAGGTTCGCCATCACTGGCCTACACCATTTCTGACAGATGGCAGTCCAGTCTCTTCTTGAAAGCTTCCAGTGATGAAACTCCCACATGAGGTGCAAATGTATGTGGGTTTCCCCCCCCCCACTGCTATAACAAATTAGGTAATGAAGAGTAAGCTGTCCTGGTGCATTTTACTTGGTGACCCAGATGTCTGTTTTCTTCAAAATGAAGAAAAGCTAAACATTTAGAGTTGAGTTAAACACAGGAATTTAACAGAGTACAACAGTCAGTGTAACAGGAGCTGATAAGTAACTTCCTTGACCTGACTTTAAATATTGAATTTGGTGGTGGTCACAACCCCATACATTTCAATTCTTACATGCTTGGCCAGTGGTTCCCAACCTTTTCTATACCCCGCACCCCTAGAACACTTCTGATATATTCTCGCACCCCTTACAAAAGTTCGAAATAATGGCAATGAATTATGCATATACACTATAATTTTTAAAACCTAAGTTTTTGCAACCCCTGGAATATTGTCTCGCACCCCTGGTTGGGAACTCCTGTGCTAGGCAGTCAAAATAGAGGAGAACTCACAATGCAAAGAATTTTATCTGAGACAGAAAAATAGCCAAGGACACTGGAATTCCAGCAAAGCAGACCCACGAAGAAACTCACATAAAAAGAAACTTATTGTCTAACCCATAATATACAAAAAAAACCTATTCCTTGGCTCCTTGAATTTGAAAATGCTTAACAAAAGCTTGACCTTCTCTCTGAGTCTCTCGTGTAAGATTGCTTTGTTCTGTAATAATAATACATAGCATTAACAAATGCTATCCTGTGTACCCGTTAAAGTAAATCTCTATTATTTTCCTTTACTGAATTGGATTGTGGGATTGGATTTGGAAATACAAGTGTCCAAATGCATTCTCAACCATAAGGCTGGGTGGCTCTCTAATCGAGTAGATACAAACTGAAGGTAGAACAAGGAGCAGTGGATGACAACTAATCAAGGAGAGAACCAACCTAGAAATAAGGAGAAATTTCCTATCAGTGAAAACAATCAGTGGAACAACTTGCCTCCAGAAGTTGTGGGTGCTCCATCACTGGAGGTTTTAAGAAGAGAGTGGACTACCATTTGTCTGAAATGGTATAGGGTCTCTTGCTTGAGTAGGGAGGTGGACTAGAAGACCTCCAAGGTCCCTTCCAACTCTGTTATTCAGTATCAACCACATGTCAAAATATGATTGTCTAGAAGTTTATGACTCAGTAAGATATGCAAACCCAGCCACTCAATGGTTAGTTTATGATTCAGTGGGTGGAGTTGATAGGGATTTATCCAAAACATGAGATAATACGTTGTTGGAAGAAAAGTCTTCATCCTGGTTCAGTCCAAGCCGGGGATAAACAACATGATGACTGCTTTAGAAAGAAGGTTGCAGTTTATTGAAGAGCCAGACAGAAAGATGGTTCTGGCAGGAAAGAGGAGAGAAAAAAAGGGCTGAGCACATGTAGGAAGTGATTTTTTATACCCTGTGAAGCCTTTTGTTTGGAGTTGTTCCTGTGGCATGAACTTTGACCTGAGCCTGAGTGTGCTTTTCTGGAATTCTGATGGTGATGGGTCAATCTTATTATGTCCAAAGGTCATATCCTGCTTCCCTGGTGCTGGGGCTGATGATTCTTAGAGTTTGGATGGGGTATGTAGATTTTAGGTCTTTGTCTTCTTAATCTCCTAGGTCCCTGGATTTACATCTGCATCTCTATAGAGCTGGTTTCTGCTTGGGGAAGGGAGACTTGGGGCTATTAAGAAAACTGGGCATGCTTTCCTGCCTCTTTAAGATCCTTGGAGGAAATATATTTTTCTGCCCTTTTAATATTTTCTTCTCTGGGGGGGGGGGCTGACTTCCCACAACATGATACAGCACTTATTTTGTGAAAGAGTCTGAGGAGCTACGGCAGTGGTTCTCAACCTATGGGTCGGGACCCCATTTGGGGTCGATCGACCATTTCACGGGGGTCGCCAAGCAAGGCTGTCCGCCATATTTTTTCCCCTTTTCCGGCGGGTGCCTTACCTCCCTTGAGCTGGGCCAGCTGGTGGTCGGCCTGCTCCGTCTCTGCCGCTTGCCAGCTATGCCTCGGCCGGCGCAGGGGGCGGAACCACGCATGCGCGGCGCTCCCGGGCAGGGAAAGTCCTCGACTTACGACCGATTGGGTAGTCCTCGACTTACGACCGGTTTAGTCCTCGACTTATGACCAGTTTAGTCCTCGACTTATGACCGGTTGGGGGTCGCGGCATTAAAAAGGTTGAGAACCACTGAGCTACGGGAAGAGATAAGAGACTGTGAAAATGGAAATATTGCCATAATTTCAGAATGGAAAAAAAATCCAGACGGCCTTTGAACAAAGTATTATGATAGACAAAGGAAGGTAGAAGGGTATACAACAACTGAAGATAGATTTCCAATCTTGGCTGAAACAGGCCCATCAAATATGTTTATAAACAAAGAAAAAAATAACAAGAATAGGAAAATATGACATGTTTTTAAAGAAATCAGAGAAATTATAAAAAAAATTACCGGCTAAGGCAGGTAATCAATCAAAACTAGTAAGATCATCGTTACCTCTCTCTTTCAGGGTCTAGAGGAGGAACAGAAAAACAAGCTCCACGTTGTTGAGAAAGATCTCGATGAATTTGTGGATAGCCTGACCGAAGTCCCAACATCTGGGCTTCCTAAGAAACCACCAGACGAAGAAAAGCATCTGGTGACCGAAATGGCTGCTGCAAAATTGCCTCGGGCCGAGCAAGTTGCAGAAAAAGTTCTGAGGGCTGAAAGGGTGGTTGAGAGAGCCCAACGAGTAGAAAAACCACCAGTACTGGAAAAGGTGGCAGAGAAAGTGCCAAGGGTTGAAAAGGCACACCAAGTGGAGAAGGCGGTACGGGCAGAAAAGACAGCTGAGAAATCACACCTGGCAGGTAGGATGTTTCTCTGAGCCAATAAAGCATCATGTTGGAGGTGCCGTGGAGATTCCAAGGGCAAGGAAGGAAGAGAATGCTTAACCCTGGGGTTGGGGTTTTTTTGTATGGTGGGACTTCCATCTCATTTTTGGTTTAGAGCAGTTTTTCCAGATCTGGACAACTTGCAGACATGAGGGAAAGTCCCAGAATTCTCAGCAATTTTCATCACAGGCAGGAATTCTAGGAGTTGAAATCTAGAGATTTGCAGGAAGCTTTACTGGGGAAGATTGATTTGTAGGAGATGATTTGTAGGGACAAATAGAAGGTTTATAAAATGATATGTGATAGGGGGGACAGAGAGAGAAAGAAAGATCTCTCTCTCTCTTCCCCCCATTCCCTCCCTCCCTCTGTCTTTCTCTCTCTCTTCCCCCTTTCTCTCTCTCTTCCCCCATTCCCTCTCTCTCTCTCTCTCTCTCTCTCCCTCTCTCCCTCTCCCTCCCTCTCTCTTTCTCTCTCTTTCCCTTCTCTCTCTCTCTTCCCCCATTCTCTCTCTCTCTTTCCCCCATTCCCTCCCTCCCTTTGTCTTTCTCTCTCACCCCATTCCCTCTGTCCCTCCCTCCCTCTCTTTCTCTCTTTCCCCTTTCTCTCTCTCTTCTCCCATTCTCTCTCTCTCTTCCCCCATTCCCTCCCTCCTTCTGTCTTTCTCTCTCCCCCCCCCATTCTTTCTCTCTCTCTCCCTCCCTCTTTCTCTTTCCCTTCTCTCTCTCTTCTCTCCCTCCCTCTCTCTTTCTCTCTCTTTCCCCCAATCCCTCTCTCTCTCCCTCCCTCTTTCTCTTTCCCCTTTCTCTCTCTCTTCCCCCTTCCCTCCCTCTGTCTTTCTCTCTCTCTCTTTCTCTCTCTTCCCCCCTTCCCTTTCTCTCTCCCTCCCTCTCTCTCCCTCTCCCTTCCTCTTTCTCTCTTTCCCCTTTCTCTCTCTCTCTCTCTCTCTCTCTTCTAATTAACCAGTGGAATGGCATACCATCACTGGAGATTTTTAAGAAGAGATTAGGCAGCACTTTGTCCAGAACAGGTAGTCCTTGACTTACAACAGTTTCTTTAATGACCATTTGAAGTTACAACAGCATTTTAAAAAATGACTTTTGACCGTTTTTTATATTTATGACCATTGCAGCATCCCCATGGTCACATGATCAAAATTCACAGACTTGGCAAGTGACTCATGTTTATGAAGGTTGCCATGTCCCGGGGTTATGTTATCCCCTTTTGCAACCTTCTAGCAAGCAAAGTCAATAGGGAATCCAGATTCATTTAACAACCATGTTACTGACTTAACAACTGCAATGATTCACTTAACAATTGTGGCAAGAAAGGTTGCAACATGGGGTAAAACTCAGTTAACAACTACCTCACTTGTCAACAGAAATGTTGGTGGATTACAATTGTCGTAAGTCGAGGATCACCTGTATAGAGTCTTCTGCTTGAGCAGGGGGTTGGACTAGAAAACCTCCAAGGTCCTTATATCCCTGTTATTCAGTATTCTGTTGTTTTTCATAATTGATCCAAAGAGTAGCAAAAGTGGCTGTCCTTGCAGTCTACACGTGGGTTTCTCCCAAGCTATGGCTTGGCCATGCAAAAAAAAAAGTGGGGAGTGGCTTGAAGTTGTTGTTTTTTTTTTATTATTATTATTATTATTATTATTATTATTATTATTATTATTATTATTATTATTATTATTATTATTATTATTATTATTAAAAGTTTTACTATAATATAAAATAACAATGAAGATAACAGAGAAATAAGAGGGAGAGCAAAGTTAAAGAAGTGCAAGGAAAAGAGAAAAGAAGGAAAAAAATAGGGACTTCCCCTTTTTTTCAGTGCTGTTAAATACAAGTCACAACCTCAACTTTTTTCTTAACATATTTATTTATTTATTTTATTTATTTTTCATAATTTATATGCCGCCCTTCTCCCCACGGGACTCAGGGCGGCTCACAGCATATTAAAATAACACAATACAAACAACACACACAACATTTCCCCTATAAAAGCCAATTAAAAGCCAATTTAGTAAATACTAGCATTTTGTATAACCACAAACTAATCTAATCATCAAAACCCCAAATCTTCTGTTTTGAGCATACAGTCCAGAAGCAGTTTCCAAGTAGAAACAAAGCTGGATACATTCTTTTCTTTAATTAGAATAGTTAACTTTGCCTCCTCTGCCAGCTCCATTATTTTTTCCATTGGGTCTTCCATTGTGGGGATTGATGTATCTTTCCATAGCTCTGGCCTGAATTTCTATCCTGTGTCTATTGCAAAGATCACCCTCAAACACTCAGGAATTGGTGGTAAAAGACTTTATGGTGGGAGAGCCAATCTGCTATGCTAATGCCTTCCCTTTTTCTCTGCTTGAAGCACTGAAGATTGTCTCTGTGAAGCGAAAAACAGAAAGCCGAGCCGCTAAGGACACGCTGCCTTGGGAACCTCTGACTTTGAACAAATGCATTCTGGTGGCAACTTTCCTGGCTCTCCTCAGTGTGAGCTGTCAGGTAGTTCAAGGTAAGAGAGAAGAGCACTTTCCCCTGGATCAAACAAACCCCCCTCCCACCTTCACACCTCATCTAGCTGCTGCCTCCATTAGAGATCAGGTTTTAAGGTTAAAAGGAAACCTTCTAAGCTGGCAAAGAGAATGTGTAACTACGTTGAAAGAAAAATCTTTAGGTCCTGTCCAAGCCGGGAATAAACAAAATGGAGGCTGTTTGGAAAGAAGGTTCTTTATTGAAAAGCAGAACAGCAACAGCATGCATTTCTGGGGCAGCTGACAAAATGGAGCTGGGAGTGGTGGGTTTTTTATACCTTCTTGGGCTTTTGTGTCTGGAGTTTTCCTGTTCCTGTGGCATGAACGTTGACCCGAGCCTGAGTGTGCTCTTCTGGTATTCTAATAGTGGTGAGTTAATCCTGTTATGTCCTAAAGATCATGTCCTGCTTCTCTGGGACTGGGGCTGATGACTATGTCCTGTGTTGGATTTTTGGGTGAGGGGTTGCTGGTTCTAATCCTATCACTCTGCTGTTGTTAGCTATCAAATTTTGCTCCAAGGGATTTCAAAAGATCCTGTCTTGAATGGGCTTCTGCAGGTAGTATTTGCCCCTGAATGGGGCCTCCGTCTTTCTGAATGGGATGATCAAATCTGCATTTCTGGCCTCTTTAATTTTTGCTTAGGGCTAAAGAAAAACTGCCCCCCAAATATTTCCTTCTCTGGGAAGGTGGGGGGCTGACTTCCCACAACTGTCTATGGAAATTCTCAATTATCCAAGTCATGGTGGTCCCAAAGATGTTTTTCCAAAAGATGACTGGAAAAACCCCAAGAAAATTCAGTTGCCTTTTGGAAAAGCACCTTTGGGACGAGAATGTGTAATGATAGCACAGTTGGGTTTTTGTCTCTTGGTGGAGCTCAGCATTTGTGACCAGACGGATGTAGAACACCAAGTTCCTATTTGTTGAGCCTGACCCTCTCTGCCAGATAATCATGAAACTCAAACAGTAAGACTTGGATCAAAAATCTGGGGCCCTTTTGAGCAGAAGGAGGAAGCAACTTTGGGTTTTAAAAATATTTGGAAGGGGAGATATTGAGGAGGGAGTGTCAAATACTTTTTTATTAGCCAGTTCGGTCTACTGCAGGGGTCTTCAAACTTGGCCCTTTTATGACTTGTGGACTTCAACTCCCAGAATTCCTCAGCCAGGCACGCTGGGAGTTGAAATCCACAAGACATAAAAGGGCCAAGTTTGAAGACCCCTGGTCTAGTGGTTAAGGCAGCGGTTCTCAACCTATGGGTCGCGACCCCATTTGGGGTCGATCGACCATTTCACGGGGGTCGCCAAGCAAGGCTGTCCGCCATTTTTCCCCCTTTTCCGGCAGGTGACTTACCTCCCTTGGGCTGGGCCAGCTGGTGGTCGGCCTGCTCCGTCTCTGCCGCTTGCCAGCTACGCCTCGGCCGGCGCAGGGGGCGGAACCACGCATGCGCGGCGCTCCCGGGCAGGGAAAGTCCTCGACTTACGATCGGTTGGGTAGTCCTCGACTTACGACTGGTTTAGTCCTCGACTTACGACCGGTTTAGTCCTTGACTTACGACCAGTTGGGGGTCGCGGCATTAAAAAGTTTAAGAACCACTGGGTTAAGGCATCAGGCTAAAAAGCAGGAGACCATATTGTTCAAGTCCCGTCTTAGCCATAAAAGCGAAACAGTGTGACTTTGGGCCAGTCATTCTCCTTCAGCCCAACTCACCTCACAGAGCTGTTGCTGTGGGAAAAATAGGAGGGAGAAAGGTGTGGTGGATATGCTCGCCACCTTGAGTTATTTATAACAATAATAAGGATGAGATAAAAATAAAATAATAATGAATACTTTTTTCTAAGATTTCTTACATTTTGACTTTATCTTTGGACACAGTATTGCAAATAAAGGTAAAAGGTGGTTAACTATCATTCTAACAACTAAAATTATTAGGCTACCCCACCGCCACTGTGTCTTTGAATCTTCCATCCTCAAGCTTTGGGATACCCCTCCTCATCTCATCTTGACCTCAAGCACCATGCAGGAGCCAGTTTGGCCTAGTGCAGGGGTAGGCAGCCCTGGCTCTTTTATGACTCGTGGACTTCAACTCCCAGAATTCCTGAGCCAGCCATGCTGAGGGGACAGGGAGAGGTTTCCAAGCTGAGCCATGCTGGCTCAGGAATTCTGGGAGTTGAAGTCCACGAGTCATAAAAGAGCCAAGGTTGCCTATTCCTGGCCTAGTGGTTAAAGCAGGGCTTTTCAACCAGTGGTACGGGTACCACCTGTGGTACATTAGCACCTGGCAGGTGATATGCGACCATCCTAGAGAAGTGGTAGCAGGGGAGGGGAATGAGCTGAACCGGTGGCAGCACTGCACAAGCCTGGGCGAGAAACGGCTGGAGCTGCAGAGCTGTCAGGGCTCAGCGGAAGTGCCAGGATCAGCGCTTCTTCGGGGCTGTCAGGGCTCAGTGGAAGCACCAGGATCAGGGCCAGGCTCCAGCTGGAACTCAGCGCTGATCCTGGTGCTTCTGCTGAGTCCAGAAGAAGCGCCGATCAGCTGGAATGTTGCAGCATCTCCAGGGTCTTGTTATTTACATTCAGATGCTTGGCAACTGATTCATATTTATGACGGTCACAGTGTCCCAGGGTCATGTGAAGTGACCAAAACCTGCTGCAACCACCCAGCAGATGGGGGGAATAAAAACCAAACACCCCCACCCCACCCATGCTGCCAATCCTCAACAGAAATGCTCACAACAATGAAAACCTCAGACAGGAGGAAGAGCACCACTGGGTGGGCAGGCAGGTGTCTTGCTTGCCTGTGGCTTGGGGGGCACTTTTTTCAGTGCCATTGTAACTTCGAACAGTCACTAAGCGAACTGTTGTAAGTTGAGGACTACCTGTACTTCATCACTTTTTTTCTTTTTTTGGGGGGGGGGTCATCAAGTTTTTGACACCTTGCTAGGCAACTGGTGGTACTCAGATGTTGCCATATCCTAAAAGTGGTACAATGGGTGAAAAGGTTGAAAAGCCCTGGGTTAAAGCACCAAACTAGAGACCGGGAGAATATGATTTCTAGCCCTGCCTTAGATGTGAAAGCCAGCTGGGTGACCTTGGGCCAGTCATTTTATCTCTGCCCAACCCCACCTCACAGGGTTGTTATTGTGGGAAGAATAAGAGGAGGAAGGAATACGAGGTATGTCTGCTGCCTTATTTATAAAAGTAATAAAGACGGGACAAAAGCAAGCACAGAAATATATGCAGAAAAAAATAATAATGTTGCTATAGGAGCTTGTTCACCATCCCATCTTCTTTACAGAGGCAATAGAATATGGTGGGGCTGTTCTTGAGGCAGAGCTGAATGCCTGGACCACACAAGAAGACAGTCCTGGGGAACAGGTGAGTTAAAAGTGGGGAAGAGCAAAGGAATCCACAGTAAGACTCATTTCATCAGAAGGCGAAAAAACACCTACTTTAAAAACTCAACCTTAGGTTTAAATACAACTGGAATCGCTTAAGACCAGAGTCTCCAACCTTTTGGGCACTAGGAACCAGTTATGTGGAGAGAGGTTTTTCCTGCCTGCATCCCACAGATGGGGCTTTGCTTGTTTGTAAGGCCCGGTTGCTGGCATGCCACGGCCCAGTACCAGTCCACGGACCGGAGGTTGGGGACCCCTGGCTTAAGAGATTTCCGATTATCCTGATTCAGGAGAATTGGGTGTTCATTCTTTGTTGAGCTGTTTTGTGATGGGGAGTCTTTGCTTAACATTTCTCTCTCTCTCTCTCTCTCCCTCTTCTTTCTCCCGCATCCTTCAAAGGCAAAGGTAGTCCTGATGAATGCTAAGGTCTCCCTCTTGGGCCCTTTTTTGCCCACTCTCCTGCCCACTGTCAATGCTGCAAATACTGTATATTCTTGCTTTGACAAAATATGCAGAACTGTCTGGTATTTTTAGAGTTAATTCAGATGATGGTGGGGGGAGGAGAAAGATAGGACTGCGGGAGGGAAGAGACCAGAAGAGAACCTCTGCCCTTCCACCTGATAGGAGAACATGATATATGACAGCAAATTTAGAGAGGGAACATGCTGGTAAATTAATTGCTCAGAGGAAGAAAATTTCAGATTTTAGCATCAACTTCGTTATGCCTGTGCCGACATTTTGTAACAATAAATTACTTTTAGGAAAGTCAATGCCTGGAAGTTCTTTGAAGTGTTTCATTAGCTGGAACCATAACACCCACCTTCAACCACATGTGCTACTGAAGTAACAATGAATTTACACAACCCTCTGTGTTCCAGCAGTAGTGTGTCAGTGCCAAATACAAGTTGTTGCTTTTCACAATCGCTTTCAGATGCTTTTTGAATAGGCAAATTTTCGTAGATTCCCGCTTGTGGCTTTTCCAAAAACATTGAGCTGGCCACTGTAGGAAACAAGATGCTGGACAAAATGGCTCCAAGAGGACTCAACGAGCACGTGAAGAGTCCTGTTTGTATTACCCTTAAGGTTAAACTATCTCAGGCCAGGACTTACGATGAAAACTATTGAATCTTTCCTTTCCTTTCCAGGAGGAGCTGTGGTTTTACGAACGGTGGTTTGATTGGTCGGACATGGATGAACCTCCTGAAATAGAGGAGGAGGAATTCCTGGAAGTTGAGGAAGAACTTTTAGAAGTTGAGGAAGAAGAAAAAGAGGCACCTTTAGAGGATGGAGAAGAAGGGACAGAACCAGTAGAAATCAAAGAGGAAGAGGAAGAAGAGGAAGAAACAGAGGAAGAATCACTCCCAAAGAGGGGCCTCAGGAAAATGCAGGAGAAAATCAAACGAGAAACACCTTCCAAGAGTAAAAGCCAGAAAGACCGCAAAGTTCAGGAGAAAGAAGAAGAGAAGAAGCACCTTCCGGACAGGAGACATCACTGGGAAGGGAAGGGGAAGGAGAAGCAGCAGGAGGACAGGAAGACCCATCGCCACAAACATGGTGACACAGCCCCTCCACTGAAGGAGCATAAAGAAAAGCATCCCTTGCTGGATAAAAGAAGGGGATCCTCCAAGGATGAGCATGGCAAAGGGAAAGGCCATCTCAAGCATGAGAAGGACCCGAAGGATAGGAAGCCCTGGCAGATTCAGAAGAATTTCTTCCCCTCACCCAAGGAGAGTACCCAGAGATTTGGGCGGCACAAGTCTCAGGAATTGAAAAGGCATGACTGAGATCCAAGGATTGCTGATTTGATATCATTGTGGCAAGCAATATGCTGCTCACACACACACACACACACACACACACACACACTCCCTCTCTCTTCTGCACATCCTTTCCCTGAAAGTGTGGGGATACAAAGACACCCAGATTTGAAGCTGGGTGACTCCTGTTGAGACTAGGCCTCAAGAGGCAGATTTGCCAGGAGTTGGAAGCAGAGATGCTTTTTTTTAACGCCTTGCCTTATCCTTCCGATAATGGTGGCGCCAGCAATCCCAAGTTCTCAGGAGGGGAACAGGAGTCACTTAGCCAGATCCGTCTTACCTGCTCTGCTGTCCCCTCAGAGTCATTGAAGAACCTCAAAAAAGCACTTCCTTTCTCCATTTGTGCTTTACCTGCCCAGTTATCTCCAAACGAAGTGCTAATGTTGGTTTCACAGCAAAGAGGAAGCCTTAAACCTTGATACTGACCTCAGTCCTTGACTTGGAGGAGCCTCACACACACGGTGGACTTATTCCCCGATCCCTCATTATATACAGATTTGTAACAGGAATGCGTGAACTGCCTCTCTTGTACACAACTGTGTGTTTTCTTTTCTTTTCTTTTTTGAGCTGATACCAAAGCTGTGTGTTTAAACTGGAATTCTTCATTCAGAAGTCCAGCAAAAGAGTCTATATGCTGGAATGGACCTTAGATGTTTTTAGCAACTCCCATACCTCGATTAATAGACATCTGAATTGTTTTGGTCACTTTTCAAGAGCAAAGCAAGACTGCGCCTCAAGAGTTTGCTTCTTGCCTATTTTGTGGGAAAACTGGATTTTTTTTTCTTTCTCTGTTGCACAAAATGAAGCCTATCAATGTGAAGCTAAATCAGCTCTGGTTCTTCCTACGATAAATTTTACCACAGAGAAATTGTAGCAAGTAATCAGCTAGATTGGGGAAAAGTCATGATAATTTCAGAAATAAATGTCAGGTATGAACTTCTTAAATATTTTCATGTTTTAACATAAGGAAGAAATAGGATGCACAGTCCACAATACAGTCCTTGGTGTTCCAAGTTGCCTGGGCTATTATTTTGACTTTTTGAGCTGCTAAAAGCAAATCGAATGTGAACTAAAACATTTTGTCCAAGAAAATTTGCATTTTTCAGTGGGGAAGAAAAAGCTTGAATTGAGAGAGTTTGTTGCTGGTTTGTATCAACTGAACAAGAAGCATTTTAAGTTACAAGGCAACTGTTGCACGGCCATGAATTGCCTTGAGTCATCAAGCTCTTTAAAATTTGGAATTGTACTATACAATTATCAAATTATAACTACGTGTGAGCAGGTTAACACATTGGGATGATTTCACCTGTAGAAAACATCTCCCAATAACATGAAAGCTTTGTTTGATTTAATACCATCAAGACCAGTGGTTCTCAACTTGTGGGTCGGGACCCCATTTGGGGTCAATTGACCATTTCACGGGGGTCGCCAAGCAAGGCTGTCCACCATTTTTTTTGTCCGCCATTTTTTCCCCTTTTCCGGCGGGTGCCTTACCTCCCTTGGGCTGGGCCAGCTGGTGGTTGGCCTGCTCCGTCTCTGCCGCTTGCCAGCTACGCCTCGGCCGGCGCAGGGGGCGGAACCACGCATGCGCGGCGCTCCCGGGCAGGGAAAGTCCTCGATTTATGACCGGTTGGGTAGTCCTCAACTTACGACCGGTTTAGTCCTCGACTTATAAAAGTTTGAGCTTGAATCAGGATTGCATTTGATCTAGTAATTAAGTCACCAGGCTAGAAACTGGGAGATTGTAGAATTCTAGTCCTGCTTTCGGCATGAAAACCAGCTGGGTGACTTTAGGTTAGTTACTCTTTCTCAGCCCGAGCCATCTCACAGGGTTGTTGTTGTGCAGGGGTCTTCAAACTTGGTCCTTTTATGACTTGTGAACTTCAACTCCCAGAATTCTTCAGCCAGGCATGCTGGCTGAGGAATTCTGGGAGTTGAAGTCCACAAGTCTTAAAGTTGCCAAGGTTGAGGACTCCTGATCTAGAAGATCTCCAAGGTCCCTTCCAGGTCTTTTCTGATTCTGAAAGCACCTCCCCCCTGCCACCTTTATGTTCTAGAAAGGATTGGGGGGGGTCTAGGACAACTCGCTGCAGCCATCTCGCCATGTCCATGGTTGACTTGCCAACCCACCCCAACCAACTTGCCAACACCAACTCACCACGGGACAATTCGACACAGCAGAAGTCAACACGAGATAACTGTACTGTTATCTGTCCCAGTTTCTTTGACATTCTTTTAATTTTTGTCATTCACATTTCATTTTGTCCCTCCTTTAGCATCCTTTCTTGAAGGATTCTATTCCACCTACAAGAGTTACGCTACTATCAAAGAAAGGGTGGAATAGAATTGGCTGTGTCAAGTTGTCCTGCACTGGGATAACTTGATTGGAGTGAGTTGGTCGGAGTGAGACAGACACTGTGAAACAGCTATGGTGAGTTGTCCCCTTCTGGAACTAGGTAGGGTGTCAACGCTGCAAATACTGTATATTCTTGCTTTGACAATATGCAGAACTGTCTGGTATTTTTATAGTTAAATCAGGCAACAGTGAAAGGGGAGGAGAATAAGGAAAGCCCGGGAAAAAGGAACCGGAAGTGAATCACATCTTCCAAGTTAATTGGAAGATGTGAACCATGACCCCAAAATAGGGGAGGGGAAAATGCCTGGAATGTATGTGCAACGGAAAAGAAAATCAGATCTAAGCATTCCACCATGCCGTACTGACATCTCTGTAACCTTAATAAAGGCTTTTAGGTTAAAAAAAAATGCCTGAAAGTTCTTTTAAGTGTTTCGTTAATCAGACACATGACATAGGGTCTATTTTGAGACTAGGAAGGGTAATGTCCGAGATGCTTTCTCCATTCCCGTTACTGCTTTGTGCTCAAGATTTTGTTCATCAGACTGTTTTCTAGGCTGTAGCTCTTCTTCCTCTCCCAAGGTTATTCTCACAGCCCATTACATTTTTTAATTTTTATTTATTTATATTCTGTCTTTTATTAATTTTTACAAAAACTGAAGGTGGCAAGTATACCTTCTTCCTCCTATTTTCCCCAACATCAACCACCAGACCAGGAATCGACTGTATGGGAAGGCGAAGATCACTTTTATTGAGATCAAATAATACAATCTGGCAAGCCTGGTTATGCTGCCTCTCCTCCCCTTCTTATACTCATGTGAATTAGGGAAGTTCCTTCTGAGCCTCTTTGGCAATTTTTTTTTTTTTGCTTCTTTTGGATTTATGTTTTTCCCCCTTGTAGCTTTAGTAAGATTTTTCCTATCACCATCAAGGTCGTCTTCCTTATTCTCTGCACCCGCCTATTTAATCATAACAATTGTATTTAATTTAAAGAAAATCCAGTTTAGTTTTCTTATTGAACGCAGCAAGATGTTTTTAATGCAGTCCCCAGCACATTTTTCAAAGTTTATCCCAAAGGTGCTTTTCAAAAAACAACTGGACTTTCCCCCCCACCCTTGAAAATGTTTTGCTTGTCCTCCAAGACTCTTCTTGGATGAAGAATGAACTGAATGAATGAGGAATGAACTGAAGAAGCTTCTTGGGTGAGAAGTGAAATGTTTTCAAGGGGAAAAACAAAACAAGAAAGTCCAGTTGCCTTTTGAAAAAGCACTTTTGGGACAACCATGACCTGGATCAGTGGTGGCGAACCTATGGCACGGGTGCCAGAGGCGGCACTCGGAGCCCTCTCTGTGGGCACACAAGCCGTTGCCCCAGCCTCGCCTCCCCCGCAACCCCCTCCTCTCCAGCAGCCCCCCTGAAGGAGAGTCGCCCCTGAGCGTGGCCCACGCGGAGCAGCGCAGCCAAGGACATGGCAGCCAGGCAGCGTGGACAAGATTCTGCCCTCACACCCTACCATGGAGTTGATGCTGCAGGGCGCGGGCAGAAGTGTGACCGCCATAGCGCTGCTGGGCTGCCTGGGCGATCTGCGGCGGGCCCTGGAGGCAGTGAGTGGTCCTGCGGGCAGGCGGGGCAGGGGATGAGGGGCAGGGCGGGGATGGGGCAGGGGGTGGAGTGGGGGCAGGGCCAGTTTTTGGGCACTCGGTCTCTAAAAGGTTTGCCATCACTGACCTGGATGATTGAAAATCTCCATAGACTTTCAAAGTCTTGGCAAGACAAAAGTACTCAACCTGGATCTACCTCCACAGGACTCAAGTAGCAATGAGGCTTTTCCCAAATATGAAGTCTTCTGATGATTTTACCCCCTGTGGAACCCTGAAAGTGGCTGTAGCAATTTTCCCAACTGTGGCAACTTTCAGATATGTGGACTTCAACTCCCAGAATTCCCCAGCCAGCCATGCTGGCTGGGGAATTCTGGGAGTTGAAGTCCACATATCTGAAAGTTGGTACGTTTGAGAAACGTTATGGCAAAAATGACAATGTTAGCTAGTAAAATGCATTTAATAAAAGTTGAACATCACAAGCCATTTTTCAAAAGATATATATAAAAGAAATATATAGGGCAGCGAACGCAAAGTTCATCCACCAAGAAATGTTAAATATATTGAAATGAGACAAATTATTAACCTTTATTTCTCTCAAGCCCAGGAAAATCATGAAGTCGAGGCAGTTCAATTGAATATAAAGGTTTATTGCAAGCTTATGCTCTCTACAAGAATCTGAACTACTAACAGTCAAAGCAAAGTGGCGGTAGATAAGAGTCAATGGAATTCAAGGTGGGCTGGACTTAGATCTCTTATGAGCACGAAGGGATTTGAGACTGATGACACGTTTAACCCCTCCCTCCGGGGCTGCCTGGTCATTTCCTGCCATAGCTTCGTTGTGGTGACCCTTTCAAAGCCTATTCAACCTAATGAACAATATATTACCCATCTTAATATCATCAAGTAGAATACAAGACTCTCTAAAATATTTTCAGTTGCAGCAGAGAAATATAACAACAGCCTGAGAATACAATGGAAAAATACTGGAATGTGTTGCAAACATAATTAAGACGTAGCAACTGAAATTACAGGCAGCTAAATATAAATATCGGCGAAAAGTAGCTTGGAATAAATAAACTTTCAAAGCTTCTTTTAAAAGGCATGAAAGGAGGAGCCATGTAGGTCTAGGTAGTAAACTTTTCCAAGATCTGAGGTCTCATCTTGTGTTGAATAAGATACATTAGAAAATTTGTTGGGGGTTGGACTAGATGACCTCCAAGGTCCCTTCCAACTTTATTATTATTATTATTATTATTATTATTATTATTATTATTATTATTATTATTATTATTATTATTATTATTATTATTATTATGTTAGGATAATAAGAGCATATCTGGATAAGCGTCCCAATGCATAGAGAGGGTGAGAAGATGAATGAGGTTTCAATCTCCCTACCATATCATTATGCCACTCCAGAATAATACGGGCAAATAGTAGTTATTGCTGAAAATGCAACTCTAGAAGTACAGGTAGTCCTCAACTTACAACCATTTGTTTAGTGACCATTTGAAGTTACAACAGCACTGGAAACAAGTGACTTGTGACCATTTTTCACACCGTTGCAGCATCCCCATGGTCACGTGATCAAAATTTGGATGCTTGGCAACTGGCATGTACTTATGACGGTTGCAGTGTCCCGGGATCATGTAAGCATCTTTTGCAACTTTCTGACATGCCAAGTCAAGAGGGAAGCCAATTTACTCAAATAACAGCTGCAGTGATTCACTCAACAACTGTGGCAAGAAAGGCAACAAAATAGGGCAAAACTCACTTGACAATTGTCTTATTTAGCAACAGCAATTTGGGGGCTCAACTGTGGTTGTAAGTCGAGGGCTACCTGTACCAGCATATCACGATTTTTACCTTCTTGATCACCAGAGGGATTAACAGCAAGCATTAGCCCTTTGTTCCTCTCATTGTCTCATTCCTCTATTTCCCTAATTGGAAAACTGTTCTATATAGCCGACTTCCTAAAGGAAGAGTACAGGCAGTCCTCGCCTAGTGGCCAGTCATTCAGCGACCATTTGAAGTTATGACGGTGCTGAATGAAGAGACTTGGGCTGGTCCTTGAAGTTGTGGTCATAACATCTTCTTGCAGTCATCCGATCTCCATTTGCAACCTTCCTTGCCTGCTTCAAAGAAGCAAAGTCAACGGGGAAACGAGCAGCAAGTCACAATCCTGTGATGTCACACTTAGCAACCAAGCACTTATGGCTGAAAACTGCAGCCAGAACTGCTATCTCATCGATGCAGCCATAGGAGCTTCCATTTTATGACTGCGCTGAGTTCCCAGTCCCAATTAACCGAGGACCACCTGTAATGAATTTTCTGCTTCTCCCCCACCAGAAGGCCTGAAAACCCAAGAGATTCACGTGTCAAGACTGCTAACATCGGATGTTCTTGCTTGCCATATATGAAGAAGCAAACATATTTTATTTAACCTGCATATCACTTCTAGAGTTAAAGTCAGACAATGTTAGAATAGCGGGTGGGAAAGTATGTACTCGGGGGATAGTTAGCCACAACAATATTTCAGTACAGTATTGCCAAGGTCAGCTGTAACCAGAGGAGTTACGGGAGGCAAAGTTCACACTTCAAACTAATTGGAGAACGTGATTGATGACTGTGAAATGAAGGAGTGAGTTATGCTTTGTTACGGGTGATTGGGGGTGGGAGGATTCAGTTTTTGGCTTCATTATGTACGTGCTGAAGCTATGTAGCAATAAAAGGAGTCTTTAAGGTAAACAAAGCCTCGAAGTTCTTTGAAAAGCTGCTTCTTTCGGAACCATGACATCACACTTCCTAGTGGGGCACATCCGTTGATAAACATTATTTGCCCCTTTGGACCTTAAACATCCATCTCTAGATCCTCTGAATGGGGGAGCGATAATTCTCACCCTACGCTCTGCTAATTAGGGTTCTCTGCAAATAAACGGGGGGAGGGGGGAGTCCAACTTTCCCTATCATCATAAAAAGCAAGAACAATGTCGCAAGCTTGCTATGTACACAGCTGCAGAAATTTCATCGCTAGAACGGCGATGTACTGTAGTGCTGTTGTTCAAAATTGTACCCCATACTGGCCATGACAGCAGGATGCTATTTAACATCCCATCCTCCATCAGGAGGGCTCTCCTGCCCGTCTCTACCTGCACCCACAGGACTCAGCCACCATATCTGGGTAGGACTTAACTATCATCCCTCGATCACTGGTAAAGGTAACCATGACACTTTTGGAATATTTCACAGGGACACAGCAAGGGGCTCGTTGCAGTGGCATGCCCTGTTCATGCATACGCAGCAGGAAAATGGTGTGGGAATAATAGTCCGGGATGCGGGTGGAGAGCGGGCTCTGGCAGGGCCCCACACAATTGTTGGCATTGTACGACTCCGGTAAAACGATATACCTGCTGGAGACCAGGTTTATCCTGAGCTCTCGCAGCCGGCAGTAGTCATCCTGGACTTGAGTGCTACGGTTGGCACGTAAGGACACCTTCCTGGCCTCTCGCCAACGAGTGCGGATCACCTGGAGGGCCTTGAGCAACAGAAGGCTGTGGATTTTCCTGCGGGTCTGCGTTTCCTCCGTTTCGGCAGAATCGCTAGCGGGAAGCTTTCCCGAGCCCCTCGAAGGATAATAGCACAAAGCTAGCAGATTGTGGAAAAGGTCGGCGTTGGCTTGGAAGGAAGGCATGGCTTTCAGCTCTTGGATCACCGAATGCAGCTTCTCCAGCAGTTGCCAAAGCAACTTTCCCTCTAGGTACCATTGGCCGAGCTGGCGCTCCATGAAAGCTTGGCTGTTCTCGGGAAAAAGGACCACGAGGTGATTTTCAGACTGCACCAGCCGCTCAAAAGCCACTTTCTCTGACAAGTTGAGCAGTTCGTGAGGAAGGGCCTCCATTGTGTCAAAATCCAGCTGGAGGTAGCCCTGGGCAACAGGAGGCTCACCCGAGGGGTTCAGGACTTTGTTGACAAATTGGGAGAGGGTCTCCAAAAAGTATCCAGGGTTTGTGAGCACTGACGCAGTGGCGTTGGTTTGGTTAGTGACGGTGGCAGCCTCAGAAGGTGTGTGGGCTATGCCGGAACTCAGCAAGCTGGTGCAGAGAGAGAAAGGTTTTTTTTAAAATTATTTGGCTATCTCCTTGCTCTGCATATGCCCAACTCATCTCTGCATTCATGCCTCATGCAGACATTCAAGGATAACAAAGTAAAGTTGCTCATAAATAAGTTAGATTCACGCTCCATGCTAAGCCATAAAACCATGTTTGTTTACTTATCACTGACGACTGACTTTTCTTGGGCTACACTGGGTGGTCTCCCTTCCTTCAATCCCCACAATAAAATCACTGAAATTGATTGGACTGAAAGAGAGCAACCCATTAAGCTCTGCAGCTGAGACCTGGATTAGAAAGAGGAAAGCCAAATCTCAGACAACCACGGAACCTTTAGCAATTATATTAGACTGGTTTATAATAATGCCATGTAGGAAAATGTGCCTGCATTTATTTCCTACCAGTTCTCGTTAAACTTAATGGAAGAAATGCAGTGGACTTGCACATACAAATAAGAGGAGTTTCTGAAAGTTCCTATGTCCTGGATGGTTAGTAGAGTTACTGGCACCCAACCCCTCAATTAAATCAAAACATTCCCAAAGGGATCCCTCTCAGGGGACCTTTTTCACTTTGAGAAATGTAGCAGAGAGGTGCTAATGATTATATACAGCAACAGGACTAGCAGTGGCATCATTGGTAATCTCCAGTAGAGCCAGTTTGGTCTAGGGGTTGAGGCATTGCTAGAAACCAGGAGACAGTGAGTTCTAGTCTCGCCTGAAGTATGAAAGCTGGATAGGTAATTTTGGGACAATCACCAGGAGACGGTGAGTTCTAGTCCCACCTGAGGTATGAAAGCTGGATGGGTAATTTTGGGGCAATCACCAGGAGACGGTGAGTTCTAGTCCCACCTGAGGCATGAAAGCAGGATGGGTAATTTTGGGGCAATCACCAGGAGACGGTGAGTTCTAGTCCCACCTGAGGCATGAAAGCAGGATGGGTAATTTTGGGACAATCACCCGGAGACGGTGAGTTCTAGTCCCACCTGAGGCATGAAAGCTGGATGGGTAATTTTGGGGCAATCACCAGGAGACGGAGAGTTCTAGTCCCACCTGAGGCATGAAAGCCGGCTAGTTCCTCTCTCTCAGTACAACCCACCTCACAGGATGGTTGTTGTGAGGAAAATAGGAGGAGGAAGGAATATGAGGTATATTCACTGCCTTGAGTTACGTATAAAATAATAAAGGGATAAAAAAATCTAATCATAACTAATTCCGAAGCATAAAGAGAAATGTGAAAGAGATTCTCAAGCATTTCAAGGGGAAGAAAAGGGAAACAAAAAGCAGATTTCACAGAAGAAAACATCAAGACAATAATGCAAGATAGCATCCAGCCCAGCTTTGGTTTGGAAACCTCCTGCCCGCAGACCTCAAACATTAAATTAAGAGTAATTAAATGAGTTAATTACATTCACATTAAAGTTATGTGAACATTTTAAAACGGCCATCTTCTTGCAGGAACCCTAAGCAACCAAGTCCACTGGCACATTTTGCTCTTTCAACTTTGAAAAAAAAAAAATCAAACACGATTTCAGTGTTTTTCGGAGGAGATTTTGGAAACAAACGGTGATGAAAACCGCGCTTATCTGCTTTTATTTACGTTGCTGCTGCCCTTGGAAGCGACACAATGTTCCCTTCAAGGGTTTCCCAAAGTCCTTATCAGGCTTCTGGGCAGGCTAGATTGGAAGCAATTAAAGAGGCCCGCAGGAATCTGAGATCTTCTGAGAAGTCCAATTTATTTCAGGAAAGTCAAAAAGCCTTTGCAAAAGTGCATAGGAGGTCTTGCTTGAACTTTTCTATCTCACAGATAGTCCTCGAGTTATAACCATTTGTTTAGCTACTGTTAAAGTTACAACAGTCCAGACTTATGACCATTCCTCGCACTTATGGCTATCATAGCATCCCCCACGATCACGTAATCAGAATTTGGGTGCTTGGAAACCAGGATGAATTTACAATGATTGCAGTGTCCTGGAATCCTGTGATCACTATTTGTAACCTTCTCATCCGGCTTCTGACAAGCAAGACTAAGGGAGGGGGAGGGGGGAACCAGATTTGCTGAACGACGGTGTGGTTCGCTTAACAACTGCAATGAGTTGCTTAACACTGTGGCAAAAAAAAAAAGATCATAAAACCAGGCACAACTGACTTAACAACTGCCTGGCTTAGCAATGGAAATTTTGGTGTCAATTGTGGTTAAGGACTATCTATATCAGGGGTAGGCAACCTTGGCTCTTTTATGACTCGTGGACTTCAACTCCCAGAATTCCTGAGCCAGCATGGCTCAGCTTGGAAACTTGTCCCTTTCCCCTCAGCATGGCTGGCTCAGGAATTCTGGGAGTTGAAGTCCACGAGTCATAAAAGAGCCAAGGTTGCCTACCCCTAATTTATACCAAGGGTCTTCAAACTTGGCAACTTTAAGAGTTGTGGACTTCAACTCCCAGTATTCCTCAGCCAGCCAGGGCTGGCTGAGGAATTCTGGGAGATGAAGTCCACAAGTCTTAAAGTTGCCAAGTTTGGAAATTCCTGATCTATATGATAGAACCTAGCCACTTTAAAATGTAAGCAGGTAAGAAGTAACTTCTCTGACCACTATTGGAAATTTGGATGCTGGATTGAAAGGAGATTCCATCTCATCCAGCAGAATTTTTTTTTTCTCCATTTATCGTGTAGTTGTTTTTCGGACAAAATCAGGTGTAAAAGCCAGTGGTAGAGAATGTGCAGGCTGTACAGCCAATTTGACTTGTGTAAGGTACCAGGCTAGGAATCAGGTAACTGTGAGTTCTAGTCCTGCCTTAGCCAGCTGGGTGATTTTGGGCCAATCACTCTTTCTCAGTCTAATTCATCTCATAGGGCTGTTTTGGGGGAAATCATAGGAAGAAGGAATATCAGATATGTTCTCTGCCTTGAATTACTCATAAAAACAATACAGGTATTAGCCCTTAATTTGCGAGCGCACTGGAGTCTGCCTATTACAGTCGTAAAGCGGTTCATCACGTGACCGATCTGATTTTTTGACTTTTTCTTCCTTCAGAACTTTGCAACTGGGTCATAAGTACTTTTTTTTGGGGGGGGGAGGATGGTCCATTGTAACTTCAAGCTGTCTCTAAGTGACCAGTCATAAGTTGAGAACTACCTGTAAAGGCAGGTTATAAATAAATTACAAGGAAAAAGCCCACACAATCAAAGAAAACCGCACCCACAGAGAGAGGCAAATATTGGGAGAGTGGGTGCAATTGTTCTCTCCTGCAGGCCTGGAATTTCACCACGTACAGGCGGAGAATGGGGTACAGAGTTTAGAGGACGCTACTCACCTGGGTTTCAGGTAT